GAGGGGGATTGGGGGGACCAGACCTAGCTGTGCTCAAGGATGCCTCCTGGCTCTGCACTCATGAATTACTCCTGGCGGGCACAGGGGGACTATATGGAATGCTGGGACTTGAACCCTGGTCAGCCACATGCGAAGCAAATGCCCCATCTGCTATGCTATTGCTATTGCTCTGGCCCTATATGTGACTTTTCATAATTACAAATATGTAGAGAACAGATGGACGGAAGACCAGCTAAGGCTCACCCAAATCCTGACTCAAAGCTTCCGGTACTAAAGTCCCTGGCAGAGAAGGGCCAGGAACCCTGAACAGAACGATCCAAAAGATCCTTCCAGATTTGCACTGAAACTCTGCAGTTGAGGGCAGGGAGAACTGGCTCGGTGGGCTGAGTACCTGCTAGACAACGCAGGAAGCTCAGGTACGATCCCCAGCGCCAACCACCCGCAATCCTCCTGACACCACCAAGTGTGACCCTAGAGCACGGGTGTTGCTCGAAAACCAATGAAACCAAACAAAGCTTTGAAATGCTGGTGACCACTTAGTCTTTCCTGTCCTTACTTGGGGAGAGAGCCATAGGCCTGCACTTTGCAACTGGGGGCATCCCGTTGGCTGAATGAGCAGGACGCCCCCAACCCTCCGAGAGTCTCACTATTCCAAGCGTAGAAGCATCACCTGCGTGTGGAATTTCAGGCCCCACCCGAGACCCACTAGACCCGAATCTGCAGTCTGAAAACACCTTGGGGTGAGTCACGAGTCATTTCCACTTGCAATGTTCTCAGCTGAGTTAGCACTGTCCAAAGGGCGGCGAAGAGCTACACGTGCTTATCTTCATTTATTTCCATTTTTTCCCATCTAAAATTCAATTCCTTGGTTGGACTAGATACAGTCCAAGCGCTCACCAGCCGCGCACAGCTACCCTGCCCTCCAGTGCCAGCAGAGAATGCACCTGTTCTCACTGAACATGCTACAGGCGGCAATGACAGACTACAACTACAACCAACTATAAAATTCTCCCACCTTTACCAGCTGACCCCACACATCACAGTACAAAAAGCGACACTCTCAGGGCTGGAGCGATAGCACAGCGGGTAGGGCGTTCGCCTTACAAGCGGCCAACATGGCCGACCCGAGTTCGATTCCTCCGCCCCTCTCGGAGAGCCCGGCAAGCTACCGAGAGTATTGGATATGCCAGACACAGTAACAACAAAGTCTCCAATGGAGACGTTACTGGGCCCACTCGAGCAAATACATGTGTCTAAGAAGTTCCCCAAATCCATCTCCTTCATACCTAAAACTACTTAGAGGCATACATTTTGAAGAAAACTACTGACGAAATAAAGGACTGTCCAGCCTTTTTTTTTTTTTTAAGTATCTTGATAAAAAGCTTTGAAAACATCATCAGAACAGAATCTACCCTACAATGCAGCCCTCAAGCAGTGCTCTCCAGCTCAGGCTTGTTATCCCATAGATTGCGGGAACTGATGGCAAATTCAAATTCAGTAAATCCAGGTGATTTACCCTAGAATGTGAATATCTAAACTATTCCCAGATACTGATTCTGCTGATCCTGAGACAGTAACACAACCACGAGGAGGACAGAACTTAAAACGTTTTCCCGTAGAGCCAGGCCAAAGTGCAGTTCTGCAAAGAAAGCAGGCGGAAACCAAATGAGGCAGAACTGCATGCTCAGCTCCACAGCACCAGACATCAGAGCAAGCAGCATGAAAGGCTCTTGAAGTCTTTCGAAATAGTTTTCCTTTCTTCAGATTTTGGGGCACACTGGCGCAGCGCTCACTCCTAACTCTGCACTCCGGAACCACCCCCGGTGATGCTCAGTGGACCATCTGGGGCACCGGAGATTAACCCAGGCCAGCTGAGAGCAAGACACGCGCCTACCCACTGTATTCTCTCTCCAGCCCCAGAGGGTCTTAGACTCTTCATTGACAGCTCAGTAACTGCGTCTTGAGCATCACTCCAACCCAGCTCACAGAAACAGCTTGAGTCTACCACCTAATAATTGTATAAATCTTTTGAAGTCAGCCCCTCCACATTCTTCTCTTCCACACTTGCCTGAAGTCTGAAAACGGAACAGACCCCAATGACCTGTAAGTGCTCGAACCAGGAGGTCTTAATTCCCAGAACCTTTTACTAAGTTTACACTCAGGAACTCTCTAACTTTGTTTTAGCGACCTGCCTGCCTCAGAAATTCTCATCTGCTTTGGCCTCCACAATTCACCTTCTATTCTATTAAACTCAGTCTCTTCCTTCTCACAGGACAAGAGATTCTGAGCACAGTTCTTAAGCCCATTCCTGGAACACTGGCTGAGTCACACTGGACAGCAATGAGACGTGACCGACATCCTACGTGTGTCAGGGAGGATGCCTGCTATCTCCACATGTATTCCTTTTGCTACAGATCATGAGGGAATCCTTCTTCTTTGTACCCTAATAGAAGCAAAAAGACATTCATCATCAATCCTCAATTTCTCCTTCAAGGAATACTAATGAAAAGGTAAATACCAGGCCTGAAGAAATAGCAGGACTAGAGCAGGAGGTCTTTCCCTGAGTACCTCAAGACCTGACCCCAGAGCTGGAAGTATACCCCTGGGCACTGCCAGGTGTGACAGCACGCGTGTGCGCACGCACTCACACACACGCACACACACACACACACACGCACACACAGAGTCCTATTCCAAAGGCAGAGGATTAAAGGGAGCATAGATCTTTTCTTAAAAAATGCCTGGCATTAGATGTGACAGAAAACACAAAGCACATGAAATCCTTTGAGCAGTCTCTGTTCTCCTTCGTCCTGAAATTTCTATCACACTACAATTAAGAGTGAAATGTGCTCCGGCCCAGAAGGGGATAAAAGGTCAATCCTGGCAGCCCTCCTCCAGTCACTTCTGGCCTCTCTATTTCCCCCCCTTACAGTCTTCCCAGAAGGGTCCCCATGGTCTCCCAGAAGTGCTCCACTCAGATCAACTTTGCTAGTTCAACTCTCTATACGTGAATCACTCCCAATGTTCCAGATCCAACCTCTCAGCTGGTCCCCCCTCCCATGGGAATTTTTAACCGTCACATAACCTCAAGCTACTGTGTGCACAGGACAACCTCACTGCGCCTCCCGATCCAAAAACTCCCTGACTAACCAATACCTGTGGGTGTGCCCCTTCATTCCCTGCAGTCAGGTCCCCTCAACTCAGAACTGCGGGGTCAGCTCTCGTGTCCCTCTCCACCAGGTGACACAGAACGGGAGAGATCCAAGGACCAGTGCCTTACCCTCTCCTCACACCCCGCCCAAGTTTGACACGCCCTGCAGCCATTCAACAGAGACCAGATAAAAAATATTGCAGGAGACAGTAATCAGGCATGTAGGCCCCACTGAGCATCTCAAAGTCACTCTGCTTGTCTAGTCCTATGTTATTCTCCCCCAAACTAGCCCGAGAGATTAGAGCCTCCCCTCATGCCAGTCCATCCTGCAGGTGCCCTGCTCAAAGAAATGTCACCTACTGCTTAAAAAGCTTCGGCACCTGTTAACTCAATACAGTTAAAATGTTAATTTGACATCCGTGATCCTGACCACTCTGCCAAGATCTGAGTTTTCAGGTGAGCATGCTCTGGTGGTCCCTTTGCCTGGACGCTTTGCCCCTTTCCCATCATCTCTTCTGAGGAGCCACTGAAGAGACACTTGTCCCACTGAATCTTAATTATGTACAAATCCTATTAAAAGGCCTCTAGAGGCAAGTATGCTCCCTCACCGCTACAGACCCTGTCTGTTATAACACATAGTAGCTGTCTCTTGAATAAAAAGAGTTTACAAGTACAGAAAGCATCATTTATCTGTTTTTCTTTGGGGAAGCTAGTTACTTCGCAGAGCAGTCACTCCACTGCTCAAAACATTTTTAGAACCTCTTGTGTCATTTGGAATTCCTCTCTCAGCCTCTTGACTCTCTACAGAAAAAAAAACTGTCCCTTTTATTGCACATGCATGAAATACTTTCACCCCAAAATAGTAAAGCCAAGTTTGAGAAACGCAACCCGACATCCATCCCCTTGTCATATGGATTTGCCCCAAACAACCTGTGAAACTTTCCAACAAGAAATTTCTCCATCGAAGGATGAAAATTTGACATCATTGACACTGCTTCACAAAATGCTTAAGATAATGACAAACGGAAAAGGAAGAGAAGTTAGTCCATGCTCTCCAGAGGCTCTGGTTTGCTGATGAGAAGATTTAAATGCTTATGTTTGGGAATGTTTCCTTTATTTTCCAAAGAATCCTTTATTTCACCTTGCTCAATATTTGTTACAGGAAATCCTAAGGGGTGTGTGTGTGGGGGGGGGATTCTATAAGCTGTACAATGAGGGGCTACTTCAGTGAGCCTTCGCGCTCATTAAAAAAGTAAACGGAATGAATGGATTTCCCAAAGATGCAAGAAGCTGCCTTTGGAACTTCCCGAGACTATTCCGAGGGCCAGAAGCAGCACGCCCCTCTCCCACAGCAAGAGCTTCCATCATGGAAAAGACCCAAGCACACAGCTCTGGGTCTGCAGGCACAGGCACTATTACAAAACCGGTGTCAAAACCCAAATCGAACGGTCTACGTGAGAGGATACTTTTCTTTCAAGCATGAAGCAACATTGTATCGTCCATACGTGTAAAACAAAGATGCACACCAAGTTCTGGGCTTCCCCTGGAGAGAAACAGCAGTGGACGGCGGAGGCCCCTGCTCCCGCTTGGCCCGGCCCGCCTGCAGCGAGGTGCTGGGCCCGGAGCAGGTGGCGCGGGCAAGGGGAGGCGAGCCGGTCCCGCGCTCTGGGGGTCACCGGCGGCCACCCAGACTGACTCCGGGCGTCCTCCCCATCCCCGGCTGCATCCTCGCCCGCGTGCCCGCGGGAGGGCAGCGGCGTCTCCTCCTCCCCGGCCCGGCCCCTCCGCCCCGCGTCCCGGGCGCAGCAGGACTCGAACCCGGGCCCGCCGCCCCGCCCGGGGAGGGTACCTTGGAGTACTCCTGAGCCAGCTTCTGGTACTTCCCCTGCAACTCCGCCGAGGCCATGGCCACCCCCGCCCCGGCCAGGCCGGGCTGCCCGCACGGCTCGGCCCCGCCCCCCGCCCCCAGCCCCGGCCGCGCTGCCCGCCCGGGACGGCTCAGCCCGAGCTGCCCGCTGGGCCGCCGCCGCCGCCGCCGCGCCTCCTCCCCCACTTCCGGGTTCGCCCGGTGGGAAGGGGCGGAGCGCGCTGGAGGCGGGGGCTGCCGGGGGCGGGGCGACGTCTAGCCGCCACGCCCCGCCCCGCGCAGGCCGGCCCGTGCGTGCGCAGCCGCCGTGGGCACTTCGGCCCCGCTTGGGCCGCCTAGAGGCGCCATCTTGACGCAGGATTCAAGATGGCGACCTGGAGCGGGGCAAAGGGGGTTCGCGGAGGGAAGGCAGTGACGGGCGTGCGGGATGGGCCGGGGACGCGTACACGCAACTGCGCGGGGCGCGGACTCGCCTCCGAGCTCGAGGGAAAAGCTTTTCTCTGATTTGGCTTAGGCTGACTTGGTCCGAGCGGCACGTCTATCGCGCCCGTGAACTGCCACCGGATGCTGTGAATTCTTACGCGGCATTTAAAAGCGCCCAGATCTGTCTGGAGCTCTGCGTCTTGTAGGCACATGCACTATTACAGAATAGGTGTAAAAACAAGTCGTGTGGTCTACATTAGAGGATACATTTTTTTAAAGCAACATTGTATTGTTCTTAAAACAAAGAGATGCACGTCAGGTTCTAGGTTTCCTCTAGAGAGAAACGGGGCAATAAAAAAACCTTTTTTAAAGTCCATACGAGGTAATAAATGTAGGGATTTTAGTAACGGTGTCATTTTAGAATGCTTGGAATTTCCTGTTATTTAAAATCTACACTAGCCGAGTTTGCTCGTTTGGCAATAAGCCTAGCATTTTTTTTTTCATTGCCTTGCAAGGCATTGAACTCGGGGCCTCTCGTATGCAAGGTCTGCTGCTCAGGTATACACTTTGCCCTAAGCCTAAAATTTTGCAGTGAAAAATTGAGACTGCTTTTATCAGACTTTGTGATGTGTAAAGTGACAGACTTTTCAAATGTGTTCTTTATACTTTTGCTATTAGCCTGGTCCTATTGTCTTGCAAACATTCAGATCAATTTGAAGGTAGGGGGGGCACACCTGGTAGTCAGGGCTTACTCCTGGCTCAGTGCTCAGGGATCTCTCCTGGCCCAGCTCTGGAACATACGAAATGCTGGGGGTGCCAGGAATTGAACAGGGGTCAGCCACATGCAAGACAAGCACCTATCCACTGTACTATCTCGTCCCCAACAATTTTTTTTTAATTAACATGATTATGCTCCACATCACCAAGCAGAAAAATTACATATTGTAAGTATTTCTGTGGCTTGAAACGTAATGGAATTTTTCAGCATTTAAAAATAAAATGCCATCTCAGAAAGAACATTCCAAAGAAAGAATGTGCAACTTTGGCTTGAGAGTCTGCTTCACTAACTTCAGAGATGTATTTTCCATTGCTTAATCTAGTTCCTCTGTCTAATGTATTGTTTTCAAACTGAGTTGCTAAATCTGTATATTTTTAAATTAGGACTCTCTTCCTCAAAAGACCCTCCTGAATGAAAAAGGCAAGCCACAGTGCACATGTTTGCAGCATATATGTTCCACAGAATACATATGTAAGGTAAAGGCCCTCCCGTTGATCGTCGATTTGCTCGAGCGGGCCCAGTAACGTCTCCATTGGAGACTTTGTTGTTACTGTGTCTGGCATATCCAATACTCTCGGTAGCTTGCCGGGCTCTCCGAGAGGGGCGGAGGAATCGAACTCGGGTCGGCCATGTTGGCCGCTTGTAAGGTGAACGCCCTACCCGCTGTGCTATCGCTCCAGAATACATATGTATTTATCCAAATACATAAAGAGCTCTTACAAATCAACAAGAATAAAGGTAACTTATAGAGAGAAAGAAAAGCAACTTCAATAGGCACCTCATAAAATAATTAAAATACACACATGTTCATTAAGCATCGAAAAGAGTGTTTAGTTTGGTTAGTGACCAGGAGGAAGTGAAATTAAAACCACAGAAGACACCAACTACGCCCAAGCAAACGGCTAAAATTAAAGACTGGCAACTGTTAAAAAGGAAAAAAAAGAAAAGAAAAAGAAAAAGAACCAAGAGAAACTCATGTATACCCAGAAATTTAAGAAGAGTTATATTTTCTGACATTTGGGGAGAGTTTAGTACTGAATACTCAAAGATACCCGTGTTCATTATCTAGAATTCTTTTAGGGGAGAGTCAGCCTTGTAGTGCCTGTACTATCCTACTGGCCCCAAGAACTTGATTATTCTGAAAGGAAGAAGCTGAGCAGAGTTATATGATGGGCTATATTTCTATGTGTTTTGGTTACACAGATCTAAGTCCCAATGATTCCTTCTGAAGTACCTTTGTGTGTGGGGGGGGGCTACACTTTTTTTAGTAATTACATTTTACAGTAACAAAAGTTTATTTTAATTCAATAGTTTCATAGGATTGTCAGCAATAATCCCTGACCTTCTCCTACAAATTATACTTGTAGGGGAAGTTGTAAATAAAGGTCATTTGGGAATTATTGAAAATATGAAAGTACTATGATTATTAAATCATTCAAAAGCATATTGTGTTGACTTTCAGTGGTTACCTTACTATAGTAAGTATAAGCATTAATTTAAAATGCTATATACCTGAAACCTATGTAATGCTATAAATCAATGTTAGTTTTTAAAACATACTGTTTCCAGATTTTATATTTTCAGTTGTAGGTGTCAAAAAACAGGTTTAGAACTCTCTGTGCTAGTTTCACTCCATCACTAGTCACCAAACTCTATGACTGAGATCATGAATAACTCAGTGTATATATGGGTGGATGTAAGAAAAGGATTTCAAAAGCATCTCAAGGCCCTTTAGATGACTGTCCTGGTTATTATTTATATTTTTAATCCAGTGGGGAAAAGGCACATCACTATAACATAAATTTAAACAAACAGAGGAAGGGACTGGAGAGATTTGACAGCAAGTAAGGCACTTGCCTTCTGGGTGGCTGACCCGGACTTGATCCCCAGCATCCCATGTGGTCCTCCAGGTGCACCAGGAGTGATGCCTAAGAGCAGATACCTGGGGAAGCATACATTAAGGTACTTGCCTTAATATAATGGTAGTATAATAATATAGTAATATATTATGGTAGGTCCCTCCTGGTTTGATCCCTACTACGGCATCTGGTGTCCTGAGCACTGTCAGGTGTCATTTCTCAGCACAGAGCCAGGAATAAACCCTGAACACCTCAGGGTATAATCCCTCAACTCTCTACAAAGGGGAAAGGAGATTGTATTACTTCTTTCATAGTATTATTAACTAAAGTACAAATTTCCTGTATTCAAATTCCCTTGATAGTCTTCACTAGTCATTAATTTTCACCCACGGTCTTTTTTCTGTTCCTCTTGACTCTGACAGTTTCTTAGACTTTCTTTATTTTTGATGACCTGAGCAGTTTGAGGCTCATTGGCCAGGGAGTTTGCAGATTGTACCTCACTTGGAATTTGCTTAATGTTAGTTCATCAATACTCAACAGAGTTTGGGTTTCTGGCCAAAGAATCAGAGAGGTCAAGTGCCTGTTTTAGCATGTCATTTATCATGTCAAACAGATACTGGCAGCCTTTCAACTTGATCGTCTTGATAATCTTTGAGATACTCATCTTGGTAATAAATTACACTTTCATGTTAAAGAGCTGTGTTTTCTTGAGGCTGGAGTCTTCCTTTTCTCTATTCTTCTGCCCTTGGACTCTGATTTAGTCCATTCTGACCTGGCACTTGCACATACTCTAAAACAAAGAACAATGGGTGAAAAGATCAGATATGGGAAAACAGGGTGTACTGGCTTATTTGATCTTCTGGAATATGGAAGACAGAGAGAGTGAAAGAAGTGGAAAGTGAAGATTAACTCCTCTTTTTCCGGATGTGCACTCCTGAATTCTACCCTCTGAGCATCATGTGTATATGTACGCATGTGCGTGAATATGTGTGTGGGTTAAAATATGCATAGTATAAAATTTTAACCATTTATAAGTGCGCAATTTGGTGGCAATAAGTACATTTGCAGCCCGGCAAGCTACCGAGAGTATTCGATATGCCAAACACAGTAACAACAAAGTCTCCAATGGAGACGTTACTGGGCCCGCTCGAGCAAATCGATGATCAACGGGAGGGCCTTTACTTTACTTTTAAGAAATCACCGTGCTGTTCAGCTCCTGAAGCGTTTCATCTTCTCCAACTGAAACTCAGCGTGGTTAGACATGAACTCTCCACCTCTCTCCCCAGCCCTCGGCAAACACCACGCTACTCCTGTTTCTAAGAGCCTGACTACTTGTGTTCCTTACAGATGTGAAATCACACAATCTGTCCTTTTGTACTTATCTGGTTTCACTTAGCATGTCTTAAGGTTATCAGTGTTGTAGCCCGAAGGAGAATCTTATTTCTTTTTAGAGTAATATACCACATTGTCTTTCTTTTAATTTATTAAAAGACACTTTTATAAGAGCTGCCAAATGAGTGTGAAGTGGCATCTTATCATGGTTTTGACCTGCCACTTCCCTGATGATTTATGCCACTGGACATCCTTTATGAGCTCATGGACATTCTCAGGGTTTTTACTTTTTTCACTTAAATTAAATTGTATCTGAGGAGAGAGCCATAGCACAGCGGGCAGGGCGTTTGCCTTACCCGTGGTTGACCCAGGTTTGATTCCCATCATCCCATGTGGTCCCCAAGTCCCACCAAGGGTAATTTCTGAGTGCAGAGCCAGGAGTAACCCCTGAGCATGCCAGGTGTGTTGTTTTCCAAAAGGAAAAACAAAAACAAAGATGAAATTGAATCGGCTTAGCTTCGCCTTCGTTTACAGTACTGAGTGATTTCGGAGCTGGTATCACACCTGTGAGTGAATTCGTCTCACCCCTCCCACCATTATCATTCTTGAACATTCTCTTCTTTATCCCAGTGTCCCATCTCTCCTCCCTCCTGCTGTTCCCTTGTTAATCACTACATTTTTCAGAATCTGAGTGGGTTTTGATTGTTTCCTGGTATCCTCAGTTTGGGGATCAGGGGATTCCTCCCCAGGGGTGGTCAGGAGACCCAGAGGCCC